CCCCCCCCCCGCCCCTCCGATCGTCCAGTATTCAACTCCGTACAGTCTAGTGTTAGACTGCATTGTAGATTTTGAATTAAGATTCCTTGGCATCATTCTCCTTCAATACAGCATACTGTATGACTAATGATATTTCTGCTGACATTTAATGTGCATATAAATTATTGATCGTGATCATGATCATGGTCTTGGATTCAGCCTTGGTTGAGCGTTACTAACAGTGAATTTTATGCATTTGCCAATGTCAGGTGACAAAATTGGGTTGATGGTAAACAATCTTGGAGGAACATCCCAATTGGAATTATACATTGTAGCAAGAGAAGCAGTCCAATATCTCAGTAAGTGCGCATTTATAATTAAATGGCTATTCGTGTGACGTGGCGCAATCTAGACTTGCCCAAGTCGCTCGCAAGGGACCGCGCGTAGCAAGAAGGGAGCGCTTGAGAAAGACGGAAGCGAGCGACTTGTGTCACTTGCCTGATTTTGAATCTTACTGAAAAATTTGGCGCGAAAATCAATCATGACATAGTGGGCGTTCACCATGTCGATTTCACTAGTTCATTATTGTTTTGGCGTCGTTAGTACAGAGTAATAATGAGCATTCACTGACGTCACCGAAGCAAAAATGCACCGGTGAATTTGGCGCGCTTGCGGGTGACAAAAGTCCGTCGCTTCCAGGAACCACGAACCGCGGACTTTGGAAAGTCTAGACGCAATCGTGCCAAGGCCTTTTTAACTATATGACTGGGGAGGGGGGGCCGGCAAATATAAGCAAAATATTGGAAGAAAAATGGAATTTAGAAGGGAGGTTTGATATTCTAGTAACTGAAATTTGCTATGTGAATCTTATGTCCTGTCCTTTATCTTCAAATGATTCAATGTCTTTTTAAAAAAGTTAAACATTGTGCTACATTACATATTTACATTACAATATTAAGTGGATAGCATATCCCAGACTTGAGTTGCTGGAAGGCTGGGCTAAACAAGTTATTGATCGAGTTGTGGTTTTTACATAGATATACCATGCAAGTACTGAAGATTCGGCCTATCTACAGTATAATGTAATGCTGTATATCCAAAAATCTGTTTCAGAAAACGCAGGAAATGCAGTCCTAGGGGTGGAAAAACACAACCACTATTTATTGCATTTGCCAAAAATGACGCGCATAGTTAAAAGTGGCGCGCACAGCTAAAAATGACGCGCATAGTTAAAAGTGGCGCGCACAGCTAAAAATGACGCGCATAGTTAAAGTGGCGCGCACAGCTAAAAATGACGCACATAGTTAAAGTGGCGCGCACAGCTAAAAATGACGCGCATAGTTAAAAGTGTCGCGCACAGCTAAAAATGATGTGCGCGCACGGAAAGGGACTATTTCTTATTCAATATTTGAATTTCAATGTATCGCATATTTCAGGAACGGTAAAAGGTGCTGAAGTTGATAGAATATATGTTGGTACTTTCATGACATCTTTGGAAATGGCTGGAGTTTCAATCACGCTGATACATTTGAACGAAGAAAGAAATAAGTATTTAGGTATTTATCTGCTGCGAACCTATTACATTTTAGAATAAGTTACCGTGGTTTGTGTTTCAAATACTTGAAAAGGCTCTTTATCATACGGTCAGAGACTAATTTATAAATATTTTGAAGAAGTGCGTTCCACGAATAGAAACGTACAAGTTCTTACAGGTCTGCAAACAAGGTTTACAAATTTGTTCACAAGCTGTCCACAAGTTGTGTTCGCACTGCTTGTTCCCATGGAGTTATTGTAACAAGTTTGGAACAAGCTGTTAACAACTTGTAACAAGCTTGATGGCATTGTTGCTTGATGGCTTGACCCAAGTTGTCAACAAGCATGGAACAGCTTATAACAGTTGAAATTTTATAAGATTTGTTACAAGGTTGTTCTAACAAGTCTGATACAGTCATGATATAACAAGAATGTTACAAGGTTGACGACACAAACTTGTAACAATATTGTTATTTCATGACTGCATGTATCAGACTTGTTGGAACAACCTTGCAAGAAGTCTTATAATTTCAACTGTTATAAGTTGTTCCATGCTTGTTGACAACTTGGGCACATAATAAAGATCAGTAACAGAAGGGCCACTCAGCGGTGCAACGTATCCTCGTTTTTTTATGCAAAAATATGCAGTTTACTGGCCAAAAGGCGGAACAGCCAGCCAGTACAGCGTGTTTATTAGCTAGAAAATGTCATTGACTGGCTAGGAAAATGGCGGCCAACATGCGTAATGCGACATGCGCGAAGACAGAAACTTCAAAGCTTCCGACGTAAGTGGCCCTTCTATATGGATCTTTATTCTATGACTTGGGTCAAGCAGTGCGATTACAACTTGTTGACGGCTTATTGGCAGACTGATTGATGTACGATGGGAGATTTTTACGCGTGTAGTGAAACGTCAAAATGGAAAGTGTTTCTAACCCTTTTTGGATAGTTCAGACGCAAAACATACTACAAAAATATTTCTGAGCTACAATTATATTCAGATAAAAATGTTACTTGTTTTTTTATTTTTAGACTTTGCAACGACAATGCCAGGTTGGCCAAGTGTGTTTGGCAACCAGGAGGTTCCAGAACCCGTCGATGGGTTTGACTTGAATAAGGAGCCTGGGGTGGAAGCGGAAAAGATAAAAGAATTGACACCATTAGGTTTGTTGATCACAGTAATCGAGAAATTTAGAAATGATTAAAAACATTTCAAATAATTTTGGATTGTTACTCGTTTTTTTTAAGTAGTTTTATATGGTTAACGCAACTCCTGACGTCATCAAAACCATAGTCAATGAGGTCAAGAATTAGTCCAAGATGGCGGACTGCTCATTAATTATGGTCTAAATATTTTGAGAACTAAGCAAGATATGACAAATCCACTCTTCTCCTCAGAGTCAATTATATAGGATTGTAGGAGGGGGGTGGGGGGGGGGGTGGGACCGATGGTTGACAAATTCCATCTTCCCATCATACCTAGTGCGTTTTGACTAACAATTACGTAATTTGTTTCCCAAGAAATATTACGTAATTTTACTAAAAATTCGTGTGGCTCTGCGGAAGAGAGCGTGACAAATCGGTAATAAAGTTTAATACTTAATTTTAAGAGTTCTTTTAAATGAGACAAACTGCCATTGTCTTAAATATTATTTCGAAAGTCGATGATACTGGTGATAATGATCATGATCAATTGATAATGATGGTGTCGTGATCAATCGATGATCATTATTGTGATCAATTAATGATGATGAGGATGGTAATCGATGATGATGATGATGTTCCTAGTCAATCACAATGATCATGATCAAATCGATGGTGATGATGTTGATCAATCGATAATCATTATTTTGTTTGGTCGTATGCGTTTTTGTGAAGTACGATACAATCCTGGGACATAGTGATACAGTGTGATAGAAGTGATATTAACATTTTGTGTTCGTTCAGGTCGTACAATATACAACTGCTTGTCACAGATTGCTGATACCTTAGAAGCAAATGAAGAACGTCTAAATAATTTGGATCGTTTGGCTGGAGATGGGGACTGTGGATCAACGTTAAAGCGTGCGGCACGAGGTAATTATATGGCCTGTATTTACTCACAAAATAGTTCTTTCAGTTCTAAGCTGTTCTTCCTAGAGGTCTAGTTCAGGTCCCCTATATTGATAAAGTTTTACTGCAGACAGAAACCGGAATCATTTGGAAGCATTTTGCTCAAATGCGACTGAGAGGGAATTTAAATCATACATAATTTGCATATTACAAAACTGAAACCCCGCTTAATACAGAGGGCAGAAGAGGGCGAGGGTACTACATACATTAAACATTAGTAAGAGCCGCTGGGAAAGGGAGAAGGGTGACCACCCCCACCAAATAATTTCTGAAAGTCTTGATAGCTTATTAACTTTACAACCAAAAACGTCTTGACTAGGATTAGGCGATATTAAAATCATCTCACGATTATTGTCAAGGAAATTATCACGATATTCGGTAATATCGCAATAAATGCAATAAAAACAATGAACAATTTCAATTTTAATTAATATCAAAGCATAGTAAACTTATATATAATCTTATTAAAACAAGTAAAACAACAAATTAAAGTAATATGATGGAATTTTTTAGTCTAATATTTAATCTTCATAAACCAGAACTGTCTATGCAGTGTCTACTGTGTCTCCGCTGGCACAAATGCCGTGGGCACACGGCGCAAGCAAAACCTGCAATTTCATTGTTTAGCGGATTAATACATAAATATTAGCCTTTGTATCGTATTTAATTCAGGAAATAGTTTTAATTTTTTTAAAAACTATGTATTTTAGGAATTGAAAGAATTTTTTTAGGATTTTATAACAGCTATATACACATGCGAAGCAATAGCTTTTAAAAAAGCATTTTAAAAGCTTCAGAACTCAAGTGTGTTAGTATTAAAATGCCTTCTCACACACCGCTGAGGGATGCTGCACACGCAAGGCAGCCTGACCTTTAATCAACAAAAATATCTCATATTTACAATAAATGGATCCGTACAAACTGCAACTCACTAATTATCACGTGTTAGACTAAACGCAATTCTAGTTAGCACACTACTGCAACTGCATAATAACTTAGGCACTACCTGCCAATAGGGTGGGTGGGTGGGACACAGGTCAGGCTAGCACGAGGCAAGCAAAAAAGTGACTCTGATGACTTTGACCCCACCCTTGACCCAGTCCCCCAGCAGTGTGTGAGAAAAACATTTTTTGCCTCTTTCGTTCCTCAGCCAGCAGAAAATAACACTTATTGCCCTTTATTTCCTGATGCAGTAATTCAGTAGATGCTTGTACGCCACAGCGGACCTATGTTTCCCTGATGTCAAGATTGCGATGCCCCCTCTAGTGTTATTTACAGTATAATATCTATGCTATGCTGTGCCATATACTAACACTACACTACATGGGCTGGGCTGTGCTAAACACTTTATGGCCCATGGCACCCCACTTCAGTATTTTACATTGTCTAATTCCAGACGATTTCTATTCAAGGGGAGGGTATTACACGCTAATGTGGGTTAATTAGCTCAAACAATCGCCTCAAACTGTATTGTTTGCTGTACTTAATTCACTTGCTAAATATCTGAACCTTGGGAAATTGTGGTGTACTGTATTCTCCGGAATATTGTACTGTAATGTACTCAAGTGCTATGCTCTACTATACTTTTTTGTACTGTAATGAAATTTACTGTATTTTGTGTTGTCATAGCTGTCATGTCTTGTTTTAACTAATTATAGTGCATTGTATTATACTGTATGTTAAGGTACAATGTAATTACTATGTTTAAGTTTAATATAACACAACACATCACAACAGAATATTATTGAAAATAAGTTGTAATAAAACACTGCATCATTGAGCTGCTGTGACCAAATTGTCAGTTCTCTCATGTGAATATTTATATTAAATTAAACACGAACTAAAACATGTTCACTTTAATACCTGAAACATGAATAATGCAATATTAAACTCCTCAAAAAGAGTCACTAACTCCTGGTATGGGGTTAACTGTTAACATAGCCCTAAAATTTTAACTCCACCTAAAAGGAGTAATAGGGGAGTTAAAATAAAAATAACAGTATTACGTACACTGACAGACAATTCAACATGTTCATGCATTCAAGTCTTTAATTAAATTCGCTTTCTTGCAACAATTTGATATGTGTTCTGGTTAAACTTAACTGTTCCATCTTCATCCACAAGTTTCCTCAAACTTTCCTTGTTGACGAAAGAGCGAAACTTTGGCTCGTCAATATAGAATGTAGAACAAGCCCACGTTATGAAAAATTCTAGACTTGGGAAATTATAGACATGTGTAATATTTTCATTCAACAGAATTTCAAAACCAAACTCTTTCAACATGGATTCTACGGTTGTTTTTCCAACGAACGTAATTGATTTCATAGCGCCAGCCGTTTCTGCCATTTTCAGTACGGTACTAATGCTCTCAGAACAGTCGTAGCCGTCATGTATAGCGAGCCGCCCGCTGGGTTTAAGACACTTCACTGCTCCTTTAAGATATCCGTGCTTCTCATCTTCATTCAACCATTGGAAAACAAAATTACTGAAATAGACATCGTAGAACTCCTCATCTGAATGTGGGAAAGAGCTTGTGCTGTTACCAAGTGTAAAACTAATGCTGCCGGAAATTCGGTGCGCAATTTCAAGCCGGTTGGGATCTGGGTCGACGCCAAATACATTGTCAAAACCAACTTGGCTTGCGATGTGTGCTGTTAGTTCCCCTGTTCCACAACCCATATCTAATACTGTCTGGCCATAACGAAGATGAAGCAGAGCTACAAATTGTAACCCTAAATTGATCTGAACATTATTCGTCTCTGAATACTTCTTTGCAATGTCACGGTAATCTTGTTTCCCACTTGCTGTTAGTGCAGACGCCAAACTTGACATGACAATTGTTGGCCTTTGATGATTCAATAAATCGCTTGTAAATTGTTGTATCCGCCGTTTGCAATCAACTGCTAACACATGTGGCCTGGGCTCTTTGTGGATATTTATTTATTTTTGTATCTGCGCGTAGCACTAGACTCTATCGAGTTGTGTATGTGCCTCAGTGTTGTGTGTGCGTGCGTGTGTGCGTCATAGAACTTCTTTGTTTGCAATCACGTGACTTTTCATCCAAATGACGGGCAATCAAACAACCTGTGGACGATTTTTCTCCTATATCAGAATGGTTGTAGCAAGAAAAACTGAACGGTAATTCATCTTTTGAGTCTTAACTGTCTCTAAACTCGATCAATACATTAAAATAGCCGTTTTTGCATCTACTGATATTTAATCAGTAGAAGCATTGTCAGGACAATGATGATGTATTGATGTAATGCATTGTCCTCGGCCATTGCCAACATAGAATTGCAAGGGAAAGTCGGTAAAAACTCTTTGACGACATATCCCAGATCATTCATCCGAGAAATACGACTAAAAACAGTCCGTATGACCCTTAGTCTCCTTCGCAGCCGCTCTTTGGGGAGAAACTCGACACAAAGAGCGGCTGCGAAGGAGACTATATGACCCTACAAATGCCAGAAATGATTCGGAAGGTCAAATTGCACCTGCACGCGTGAGTTTGACGTCATCCCGGCGACAGGAGCTTCTTATTGGCCAATTATTGCGCAATGTACTCGAGTGCGAGTAAAACCAGACATCTTGAAAAATTCAAAATAAATATTTCTACTCGCCGTATTCAAACGAAATTTTGTACACGAAAGCGCTTGAATACGAGGAGTATTTCAGTCGGATTTACTTGTGGGAATTCTGACGAGTTCAAGAGATATTCTCGATTTTCTGGATGTGAAGTTTAGAATCTTTGGCCAAGCGGTGAGTAAATATATGATTGTTTCGGTTTGTGTAATGTTTTGACGGCACTTGACCCCCGTTCGAAAGGTTATTTTGTGAGGATTTCAATGGTGGCTTTTATTTAAAAGGGGGGTAAATACTCGCCGAGATATTTTCAATAGAAAATTAAGTCGTAATCTAATGCGAAACCGGTACTGTCGTCAAAGAGTTAATTAATGTGTTATATGTACGCTAATTCCACTGTTGTCCATTAATGGTTTTGTCAATAGCACGAGTACAATATGTCAATACTACGAGTTGCTGTCGCAAGGAAATTGCTGCCTGGATTGTGAAACAGATATGTAAAATCACTTTAATTAATATGGACTCTCAATACACCATATCCAATTATCCGTGATCATCAAAACATTTAATAGTTATTGTTGCCACAATACATTTTTGTTGAAAATGTCAATATCATACAATATATTAAATGGTTAAAGGGAGTACAAGACCCAAAGAATGTTTAAATAACAGAATATCAACATCGTATGCACTTGGAATTTAAATGGTTAGGCCATATAAAAAAGAATAGTTGGTTAGCGTCCTTAGCTTTTGCCAAAAAGTGGGCGGGCGGGCGCTTTTTTTTTAATTTTTACTAATTTTTAACACCTTGGTTTTACTCACTGTTAGGTCCGAAACTGGATTTTCTTGCGCAGTACAGATTTTTTTTATATATTTCAAAATATAATTCATACCGTCATTTTCGCACGCAATTTCGCAAACTATTAACACAATTGACTACAGTCAACAGAAATACTACATATATTAGAGCCCGTTGATCAATAAAAATCGGGGGTTTTTAAAATAAAAAATAAAAAAAAATCCTGAGCGGGGCCTTTTTTGTGGGCGGGCGGGGACGCTAACCAACTATTTTTTTTTTATGTGGCCTTATGTTAGCCCACAGTTAATAGAAGAACGCCTGTGGTTAGCCATATGCCCTGAGTATAACCTCGTTGACCTCCACGCTTAATTAACAATTGCTCAGTTTGAGTTAAAATATTTCATTTCGTTCTTATCCGGAGAACATCGTGAACACATTTATATATTATTGATATACAGGGTGTATAAAAAAAAACTGAACAGATTTGAAATTGCTCTCAATTTCGCAAACACCTATTTGTATCCGATTTTTTATATATATAGCTTCTTTGGGTACTTATAATATAGAAAAATCAAAAAAACTTCTCATACTTAAATTTTGTGAACCAGGGG